TATATATATATATATATATATATATATAGTTAATGTAATGGTCTGTTCACCATTTGAATAGACATGGTAACAGCTAGATGAAACCAGTTTGTTGAGTCTAAATGATTTGAGTTAATCATGGAAAGTTTCCAAACTTTAATACTGTGTTGTATCAAGTCACTCAAGCTTGTACAGTTAACATTTTATCAAAGTCCCTGTAGACAAAAATGAAAACACTGGCCTTACGCAAACACGTTCCTAAAATGAAAGGAACATAAAAGCATCACTTGTCGTGGTTTTCCACAGAGTAAGTGAATGTGTGTCTATTTTTATCTGCTCTCTTCTATCTGCCAGCCTCTTCATCTTTAATTAGCACAGTAGAAACATGTCAGGGCCTTTCCGTAACCGCAGGTATTTGACAGATTAAATAAAATGTGCCGTTTCTCCATGCATTCCTCTATGCGATCTGATCAGGTTTCAGACTTGAAAGGAGTTCTCCATAATTACACTCCATAGGAAATTAGATAAACATTAACAATTCAAGGTCCAAAACACACCATTTGGCTTATCAAGAAATAACAAAATCAGAACGCGAACAAAGCCTGATGATTGATTGCCCAACAAAAAAGAAATGGAAAGTTGCTACTGAGATGTGCATGGTGTTGAGTGGTGCTAAAGCCCCTAGATAAATTAATCCATTCCAGCAGACTTTAAGGCCCCGTTTACACTAGTGCGTTTTAGTTTTAAAACGGCGTTTTAGAATGAAAACGATCCGCGTCCACACTCGCGTTTTACCCAGCGTTTCTGAACTGCTCTCCGTCCACACCAAAACGCTGAAAACGCACATCACGTGACCACACACACACACTTTGGCAAGCGCTCCAGCATTTCTACCCAGATGAGAGCTCTGCTAGTCGGACTTCTCATCAAGCATCTCCCGCTGGATCTAATCTCACTATATTTATTAAACGTGATATTTCATTCATCTTGTTGTCTTTATCTAACGACATATTCCCTGACTTTGGTCATTGGAATTACTTGTTCTCAGGTAACGTGTTTTGGCTGAGCGCAAAGATAAGTTAATGATTAATGCAACCACGTAGCCTATTCTGTACATTGACTGATCGCTTGCCTTTATTTCCTATAATGTATAAACTTATTGTATGTTATACTTTTATAATGGCCATTATCGATTATTAAAACTGATATTCAGCAAAAGAGAGGGTATGTTTCGTATTTTCACTGAAATTGAAAGGAGGCAGTTGTTATCGGCTCCGTTTTGTTATAAATATGCACATAGTGAAGATGACGCTCATGCAGCACGACGCCTCAACATTTCTGCTGTCTGTTTAGTTGTTAATATTAAAATAAAAATAGGCAGTTCCTTATATCATGTTTACATTTTATTGTTGAGAAAGTGAAACAACGTAGCCAACGTGATGTGAATGAAGTTATAAAGTACACTGTTCCCTTTGAAGATTGACGCGTGTCCTCGGTATGTTTTCCATATCAAACTGAGAAGAAGAGATGCAGCCTTGATCAAACTTGCGAAGTCTGAACTTACACGGAGAAGAGTCAGGACTGAACTGTGTGTTAGGCTACTTAATATTGAGGAAAAGCCCCAATCAGAGAGGCGAATGTCTGCAGCCCCGCCTCCGTTTTCAAATGTCTCCGTCTTTCCCCATCCACACTGAGACGGAGCAGCTGCGTTTTAGAATGAAAACGGCCTCTTCAGCGTTTTCGAAACGCTCCGTTTTCGGCGCTCGTGAACTCCGGCGTAGTGTGGACGGATGGCGTAACCGTAGCAAAACTTATGCGTTTTCAAACTAAAACGCATTAGTGTAAACGGGGCCTAAGTCACGTGGTGATTTATCTTCTGCCAGACTAAGTGCATCATGCCATCTCGGACACTGAAGACTATTCCATCATTCTGTCATACATGTACCAATTGAAGGTGCCTCATGTTTTACATGTGTTCATTTGCAGATGACCTTGACTTAGAAGAATTCCAGTTAGCGATTGAAGAGTCCAAGCTACAGACCAGCATACAGTGCACCCCCATACCAGGTAAATTCAATCCACAACAACTCTATTTTTTTGAATGAATGCCACCAAGACTACAAAGGCCTGTTCAAATGAATCAACAATCATGTTAAAGGAAGATGTATTTGCTACAAAAATGTGTCTTGCTCCAGTTACACTCTGAGAGGGACCTGAACTGGAATTTCCTGTATGGGAGTTGGACAAGCTCACAAAGACATGAAATACTTTAGTCTTTAGGTTCAGTCACTAGTGCAGCTCTAAAGGCCATTTTTAGATGGTTTACTCACACAGCTTCTTCTAGCCTGGGGTCCGTTCTTTGAACCTCGCTTAAATGATCTAAGATGATTTGGCAGATCCTGGATCTGTTCATCTCGATAACTGGTCTCTCGCTAATTTGGTTCTTCAAACAAGTTCGCGAATCAGATTAGAATGTCTGGATGAACTGATCTGAGATCACTGCGTGTGTTGTGAAGGACAGATCAATCAATTCTCGAAATCATGATCAGCAATGCAACGATTGGCTTAATGCGTAATGACATCATCTGATTAATATTCAACTATCCATGTGAGCAAAATTACATCAAATTAGCAGTAAACCGTTTGTTAAATATGACATGCAATAACCTTCCACATTTGTTGTGAGCTGCAGGCTTTACACTTTCATGTGTCAAGAGTATTCATCATGTATTTCAATGCATATCAGTGTATTTAGTTCTACATTTAGAAAATATTTTCTTTATTATAGTAGCCGTTTTTTTAATCGGTGTAAAGAATAACTGGATGTTTACAAAAGCATTTTGATATTGGTAACGGTGTCTGCAACTTTTGTGAAGCATCAAATCACCGGCATATTAACTGTCAAAACATGTTTATGATTGCATGTATTATTGCTTTTAAAAAAAAGTCACATATATGTACTAATAGTTACTATTTTCCCAAGTGCATAAAACTACTACTGTAGAAAATATCAGCATTTGGTACATACATTCAATCTGCCTACCAGGTTTGATGCTATGACAACAGCTTTGAAGAACAAAACGATCCTGGATCGTGTCAAATCGTCAATATCCAAATCCAGCTAACTGAGTAATCCACGTACGAAGAACGGACCCCTGGCCTAAACCTAAACTCCTAGTCATAGCACTAATTTAACACTCCAATTCTACTCACACTGATTGACCAGGATTTGTCTTTTATTGTAGACCACAGTCAATTAATAATATCTTAGCTTTGTTTAAAATCAATATATTGCTTATAATGATGTCTTCAACAGAGAAGTGAATTGCACCGATTCTCGCAATGAATCATTGAAACTGACTCTATCATGTCCCATGCTGCAAGTGTCACGTTCATGTGCACAGGCTCCAATTAATCACGAACTCTGGTTACCCGAGTTAACTGGGAACGTTTACAGGATATAAAGCTACAACTTAACTCAACTCTGCCACCCGTAGTTTGTTTTGTGTAATAGTCTTTCATTAAACTTTACGTCTAAACCTTCTTTAGGTGTCACAGAACGTATAATTAGTATAATTTACATACAAAAGTATAATGGAATATAAATTCTGTTTCAACCCTTTTAGGTCCATTCAAACCATGTGATAACCTGTTTGACAGTTGGGTGGTACGACTTGGCATGTGGCTCATTTCTTTGGTCTCGCTGATGGGAAACAGCCTTCTCATCCTGACAGTCTTCACATCCCCTAGCTATCTCTCTCCTGTTAAGTTCATCATTGGAACCATCAGTGGTGCCAACCTGCTAACAGGCCTATGCACTGGAACCTTAGCTTTAGTTGATGCCCGGACATTTGGAGAGTTTGCCCTGCATGGCGCTCAGTGGGAAATGGGTGCAGGTTGCCGAGCAGTAGGCTTTCTTTCAGTGCTGGCCTCAGAGGGCTCCATACTCTTCCTGACTTTGGCCGCAGTGCAGTGCAGTGTGTCTGTCTCATGTGCCCGCGCTTACGGAAAGTCACCATCTTTGGGAAGTGTCCGAGCCGCTGCAGTTGCATGCTTGGCACTTTCGCTTGCAGTCGCTGCTTTGCCACTAATTGGGGTCGGAGAGTACGGGGCAACTCCACTCTGCATGCCATCACCCCTACCAGATGGAGAACCTTCCACACTGGGATTCATGGTTGCTCTCATAATGATGAACTCTTTGTGTTTCCTGGTGATCACTGGAACTTACATCAAGTTGTACTGGGACCTGATGAAGGGCGACTTTGACAGCATTTGGGATTGTGCCATGATTAAGCATGTGGCCTGGCTCATCTTCACCAACTGCCTGCTCTACTGCCCCGTTGCCTTCCTCACCTTCTCCTCCCTTCTAAGCCTCTTTCCGGTAAGTGAGGAGGTTGTCAAATCTGTCGTCCTAGTGCTTTTGCCTCTTCCAGCAAGCATCAACCCTTTGCTGTACCTTCTCTTCAATCCACACTTCCGTGAAGACATGCGTCTCCTTCTGAGCAGAGCTCACCTCAGTCATGATCGCAACCTGGATTCCTTTGTCTCAGTTGACACAGAGAAAAGCTCCTATGACTCCACTCAAGCCCTGGTGTCCTTTGCCATCGAAGCAGATGGAGTGTTTGAAAGTTCCTCAGTCCCAAACCCTGAGACAGTTGCCCGGTTTACATGCCCACCCTCTGTGGCTCTGATTCCATGCCAGATGCAGATGAAACCATCAACAGACAGGGAGAACACTGGAGAGAATCTGATCAGATCAGCAGCAGGACTCATTGCCAAAGAGCAGGAGCACATTAGAAGCAGTGGAGTGGACACTCAGAGAGGCACCTCCATCTTCTCTGGAGCATACCACTCCACAGGTCCTTCAGCTCATTCTCAGGTCTTTACCTAAACTGTAGTTTTTTTTAAGGTCCTCTGAGTGTGAGAAGTCACAAACCCACAAATGAAATAAGTCTGAAAACCTACAGAGCTAATGATCAATGAACTGATTAATCTTGGGACTATACATAACCATAATGTCCCAACTGCTAGATAGCATTGTACAAATAATCAAATAAAAGACAAGACAAGAAAAGCATTACATTTTGTGCTCCACTCACATAAAGATACAAAACCTGTCACTGGGGTTGTATCTTTTCAAAAGATGCATTTTTGTACATAACAGGTCCACATTGGTACCTAATAAGTACAAATGTGTACATTAAAGGTACGTTTATTTCTGTGTACAATCATGTGGGTCGTTCAATAATTTAAGCAGCGATGGTCAAAAACAAATTCGCATATATAATTTTTGTAACTTTGTAAATTGTTTGTGTAATTAGGATTAAAGGAATGTTACAGGTTAAATATTGCTACCATTTGAGGAATACTGGTGATTCTTAAAGAAAACAGCATCTTGTTTTACTCAACACTTTAGTAAAAATAAATAATACATGAATAAAGGAAGTTTTGAAGGCAAAGAACTTCAGTATGAACAGACAAATTCTAGAAAATGGTGACAGTCAATACACAATACAGAATTTTAACAATAGAAATGTAGATTAAATTAGTTTAAAAAAAACAGAACAGCAGGTCACATCACATCTAGAACTAGAAATGATACTGTTGAACCATTTTCTGATATTTTTATTCATTTATCATTAACAAAAAAACAGACCACCATTACAAATTAATCAAGCTTTAAAAAGAGTTCGGCTGCGTTCGAAACCGCACACTTCCATACTATACCCCTACTGAAAAAAACAGCTTAAACCAGCCTTAGCTGGTTGACCAGCCTGGTTTTAGAGTGGTTTTGGCCACTTCCAGCCTGGTTTAAGCTGAACATAGCTGGTTTTGGCTGTGCTCCCAGCCTGGCTAGTCTGGTCATTTTCCAGGTTGACCAGCCTGGAAGTGGCCAAAACCCCTCTAAAACCAGCCAACCAGCCTAGGCTGGTGTAAGCTGTTTTTTTTTTTTTCAGTAGGGACAGTAGGCTAAAATCAGTATGCGAGCAGAGTAGTATGTCCGAATTCATAGAATTCGAAAATCAGTATGCGAGAAGTACCCGCATAACACTACTTCTGGCGAGATTCTGCGCATTCCAAGCGACGCAACTGATGCGGGTAGGTCACGTGGCCATGACAATATGGCGGATGTAGTACATCCGAATTCCATTTATACTTCTCCCATTCATACTGTATAGAACGTACTTTTCTTAAGGTTGAGTTGTACATTTAAATTCAAATGCAGTACCTACTGAGTAGTAGGCGGTTTCGGACGCAGCCCTAGTGTTTCAAGTGAGAGATTAATATATTTACCAATCTTGGTTGTGTTCAGGTCATCACATACGATGCATTACCATAATGTTGGTTATGAATACCCAGAAATTAATTTACATCTCACTCTTATGCATTAATTTCCATGTGCATGTAAATCACTTGCCCCTAATGAAAAAAAAAAAAAATGTGTGGTAAAGTAAATATCGATGTCCATTGTTGGAAAATGTATAGCGTCTTGAGCAAAGGTGCTTAAGTGTAAGGCCAGAAACATACTCTCTGCAAGTACTCGTAAGGCTTGCCAAACTCTCTACTGAACATTATTAACATGCTTATCTCCAAATACCAGTGACATGAATTCAGATAGCAAGCTATAAACATGTTGACAACTAATTTTATTTGATTGATTTGTTGTTCTGCCAGGATAGATGTAGTTCTGTACAAAAATGTTCCATTGTTGTAAATAACTACTGCTATTCCACCAGGAAAGATGTTATCCGGTACAAAAAGTTTCACTGTGGTAATTCAGAAAACCGAACTTCAACTCTGAAAACTCTACTGACACAATCTGCAAGAACTTATGTTAAACTGCTTTGACACAATCTACATTGTGAAAGCGCTATAGAAATAAAGATGAATTGTTGAGGATTGAATTCAAACCATAACCTACCTGAGAACTCTGAGAATGCAATACAAGAAATATCTAAATACTAAAAATCAAGCTTGTGTAGCTAGAAGCATTAGCACTTCTGCACTTGCATAGAGTATGTTTCAGCCTCACAACATTGTATTTTTTTTATTTACTTCATAGATGAACACGTGAATATATATTGAACATGCTATAAACTGAAGAAATGAAAAGAACTGAGTGATTTGATTAGGTTGGAATAAAGCTTGGTCTGGATCTTTTACAGATTGTAAAGTAGGCTAGCTATTGTATTGTAAAATATAACTACCTCTGATCTAGCATGCTATACCTTTTTTTTATCCTTGTTGATTTCTATTCTTTTTATATTAAATGTATATTAAAATGTAATTTTTATATTGAAATTTTAAGATCTTTGTACAACAGACTATTCTGGATGTAAATATTTTCATATTTCTGTATACATGTGATAAAGAATGATTTAATAAAGTTATTAGTTTCATAATTGTATGCCTTGATGACTACTGAACTGAATGCCAATTCACACTTTTAAATCATTTGCAATGTTCTTATTAACGACAATACGTATGAATTCAGGGAAAAAAGAAAGAAGACAGAAGAATAAAATAACAATGGCTCCCCGCAGTGGTTAAGATTGGCAATAACAATAATCTTGAGTTGGAGCTAAGAGACATTCATTCTTTTTCTTGTCGGCTATGTCCCTTTATTAAACTGGGGTCGCCACAGCGGAATGAACCGCCAACTTATCCAGCAAGTTTTTACGCAGCAGATGCCCTTCCAGCCGCAACCCATCTCTGGGAAACATCCACACACACATTCACACAGACACTCGTACCCAATTCACCTGTACCGCATGTCTTTGGACTGTGCGGGGGAAACCAGAGCACCCGGAGGAAACCCCTTGCGAAGGCAGGGAGAACATGCAAACTCTACACATAAACACCAACTGAGCCAAGGTTCGAACCAGCGACCCAGCGACCTTCTTGCTGTGAGGCAACAGCACTACCTACTGGTCCACTGCCTTATTGCCATACTGAAGCAATTCTTTACCATTATGGAGGACCAGGAGTGCCCGACTGCCCGTTAGAAATAAGATCAAAGAAATAAATAATCAATTTAATTAGTGAAGCATACTAATAAATTACAATTTTAATTAACAAATAATGGACAAATAAATAGACGTATTTAAATGTTTATTTAAATTGCTTTAATAAAGCAATAAAATTATGCATTTAAAAATAACTTTTAAATGTATTAGTAAATAGACAACTTCATAGAGGTTTATTTCATTCATGTTTTCCATTGGACTGTCCACACGTGGGAACAACCCCCTCAACTTTCTCCTCAAGCCGAGTCATTCAGTGTTGCCAGATGAACGAAAATAGAGTGGAGGAACTATGATGTCAATTTGTATACAAAAACCTGGAAGCGAGTTAGCATTTTAGCAGTTTTGCATCCCTCCCCTGCTGAAAAATCCAGCTTAAACCAGCCTAGGATGGTTGGCTGGTTTTAGCTGATCGACCAGCCTGGTTTTAGAGGGGTTTTGGCCATTTCCAGGCTGGTTTCCAGCCATTACCAGCCTGGTCTTAGCTGGTCAGGCTAGGAGATGACCAGCTAAAACCAGCTTCACCAGCCTAGCCAGGCTGGGAGCCCAGCCAAAACCAGCTTTGTCTAGCTTAAACCAGGCCGGTCAAGTTAGTTTTAGCTGGTCATTTTCCAGCCTGACCAGCTTAAACCAGGCTGGAAATGGCTGGATTTTTTCAGCAGGATCGTCCCAAAGTCAATGTTTTTTTTTCAATGTGATTTCAGTTAAATCGCTTAAATATGGTACGTGGCTAACACAAACTCAAGATACTTTCCTGTTTTATTCTACGACATAAAACACATCAGTTACATCATTCATTTTTAATCATTTGTTTTAATTAAACGATATTATGAAGATACTGCTTACCAGTGCAGCCTGTCTCTGTCCTGCTCTTAGTAATGCAAACGTGTGAATAAATGTGCAAAAATACACACATATTAACTGTCATTTTATTGTGATCAGGTAAATTTTTGGCTTTTTTTTTTCTTTATCTAAACACATTTAACTTATGATAATGCTATGTAGGCACATTTATACTTAGTTTTAAAACTTTTACAACAACCGTAAAGCAAAACAGATGCATTTCCCACGTAAAAACAATCCAAAAGGTACGTACTTCTATGTGTTTTTGCGTATTTATTAGTTTATAAAATATAGTGTGCATTATAATATAATAAACAGAAAGATTAACTCTGTCATGGACCATATTTCTAAAAATAAGCGTGAAAAGTTGTCTGTAGCAGGGTGGTGCTGACGTCACAGACGAGCGCCCCGAAGGCAATAGTCCGTTTAGTCCAATGTTAGCTTTTCAATTCTTGCATTAGCATTTAAGACCTAAAAGTGCTCAAAGTTGTATTTTGGAGTGAAGATTATACGGCTGGACAAAACGTGTAAGTGTAATGAACAGCGTTTATACACAGAGCTTATTATTTGCAATCTTCGAAAAACCTATGGGAAAAATTCTTAGGGAAAATAAAAGGGATTTTATAAAGCGAACCAGTTTCACGCTAGCAGCCGATTAGCCTACAAGGTGACGTCATAGTTCCTCCACCCTATAGTGGATGAATTACAGTGAATGAGAAATAAATAAAGGAGAATGTTTGGTTTACCCAAAAGATTAATTCAAAAAGATCTATTAGTTAGTATTTTTCTAGATATTTGTCTGATTTCATTCACCTCCCTGTCCAAGATATTAACTCATTCTGGACAAGGTTCATTTTGAGCCCTGCTAATTACAAAATTACTTCCTAGCAGTGGCAAAAATAGCTTGAAAATTTATTAGTTTGTCTCTGTTGTCCTCCAATCGAACATCTGTGAATCCGCACGACTGCAGTGCATCCATGTAGACCTCAGGATTCCAAATTTTTCCATTGAGAGCTCTCCTAGAAATTGTTCTTTTAAGACTATCCAGCCTTAGAGTCGTGACCATAATTCCTCCTGGAGGAAAAGAAAAAATAAAGGTGTTTGTAAGAAATTATGCATCAGTTGTTTTATTTGTGTATTTTTGTATACAATACAAAAAAAATCACAAATGTAAATATTTGGGAAATATAACAATATTACAGCCGACTTCTTTGCGTTCCCTCCCCTCTTGACATAAAGCTTGGATTCATAAATTCAGTTTTTGTTCTGTCTTTGTTCCTTCCATTTATGTAGCGCTTTTCTGAACACTGGACAGCAAATAATTTTTTTTTGGGGGGGGGGGGGGGGGGGTCTCCTCATCCAGCAGCATCCACCTGGATGAGGCGATGGCAGCCCTATTGCACCAGATGGCACGCCACACACCTGATTGATGGAGAGGAGACAGAGTGATGAAGCCAATTATGATATGGGGATGGTTAGGAGGCCATGACTGACAGAGGCCCGTGGGCAAATTTGGCCAGGATGCCAGGGTTAAACCCCTACTCTTTTTTTTTTTTTTTTTGAAGGACATTCTGGAATTTTTAATGACCACAGAGTCAGAACCTCGTTCAATGTCTCATCTGAAAGACGAATAAGAACAATCAATTAAATATGGAAAACGCACTCCAAATTTACAACCTAACAAGAGGCGAAGTATACTTTTAAAATTGTGGAGAGGAGATGCAGGTCTGGCTGTAATCCTGTACTAAATTGGTAGATGCAGAGAGTCCATGTAAACATACTCAATGTACTGAGCTATGGCTTCTAAGTTCTAAAATAAACAAAGGCTGCATTTACACTGCAGATCTTGATGGTCAATTCCGAATTTGTGAATGCATCCGATTTTTTGATGACCTGCTTACATCATCTTTTAAACGTGACTCTTTGTCTTTGTCCAAAACAATTATCTAAGAAGAGTTTCTCACCTGGTTTCATCACTCTGTGAATCACACTGGCTCCTGCTTTCATATCAGGCCAGAAGTAATAACAATTACAGTGAAACACTTTGTCAACAGTGTTTTCCTCTATCGGCATAGCCATCAAATCACTGCAATACAGCTCAACTTTTCCTCTGGAGATCTGCTCCTTCATGCGCTTGCTGGCCATCTCATGCATGTATTGTGAATGGTCCACACCGAACAGTTTCCCTTCTGGGCCCGTGAGAAGCTGCGAAGCGTAATGCAGTCCAAAGCCTGGCCCGTGACAGAGCTCCAGAACTGTGTTATTGGGTTCAATGTTGCAAAATTTAACCGCGTTCTCCTCCAGTACCTGATTGTGCCATTTAAAGAACTTGCTTACCAACCATCCAGATAAGGAGTATGTAGGGTGACCCAACTGTTTGCCCACTTGGTTTGGCAGCATTTCTATTCACACACAAACACACAAAAACTTTTAGAACATCTGCAATGAAATAAGTAGAGAACTGAAAAGAAACACATTCTGTCATTTATTTACTCATACTCCACACTCCTAATCCATTGAAACAAAGAAAAAAAAAAGTACTGCAGACTATTAATTAATTAATTCTCCTTCAGCTTGGTCAAAGATTTATCAGGGGTCACCACAGTGGAATGAACTGCCAACTGATGGAGAACCGCCCATCCTGGGAAGCATTCATACTTTATCATTCACAAACACACACACACACACACACACACACACACACACAAATAATTGCTAGTAAATGAGGAGTAATTGTAACTTTAGAATAACGTCTCAACTAGCTAATAACTAATACTTTTCTAATATATTAACTCACACTTTACAGATCAGTTGTTCACAATTTGTTAACCATCTAGTAATACCAGTGAAACTTTGTAGAACAGCAAATGGATGGAACAAGTTCAAGCTACAGAAATTTGATGTGATTTTTAAAATATAAAATGTTTGTACCCTAATCTTGTTCCACTCATAAGCTTTTCGGTGTGCTGTATTTTACCAAGAAACTCCACAGGTGAAATGTTGAACATTGTGTTTAATGTATAGAAACACACATACTGAGCCATCACATGGCAGAACAGCAGTATACAACACAATACAAACCCATGAGGTTTGAGCTCAAAAACAAAATAAATAAATAAATATTTGATTAGAAAAGTTCTACAAAAGTTTCACTGTATTATTAGATGGTAAACAAACTCTGAACAACTGATCTTTAAAGTGTGAGTTCATGTATTAGTTAAGTGTTAGTTATTAGCTAATGCATGTTATTAAGACGTTATTCTAAAGTTGCAACTATTTATCATTTGCTAACAGTTAATAAATGAAGAATAGTTACAACTTTTGAAAAACGTCCCAATAACATATATAAACTATTAACTGATACTTAACAAGTCTTTAGTAAGTAATTTACTAACAGCTTGTTCATGATCTGTTACTAATTTATTAGGTTTTATAGTTATAAAACATTAAAATACAGTTAAAAAGTCTTTTAGAACTTGTTAACTAGCTTGTAAGTTATCTATTGGCTATTTATAAGGCACAATTTTAAATAATTAACAAACTAAGAACTATTATTTAAAAATAACTCAACTAACAGTTTATTAATGATCTATTAACTAGTTATAACGGATAGTTATTCTAAAGTGTTACCGTTGCTGTGGGACAAAGCGAGACAAATTCAACATATTATAAATATTATCATTAGGCCTACCAATGGCGCTTGCAGCCGTACGGCTGTACGCACTGCGTACTTACCATAAGAGGGCGGGAATTAATGCCGCTTTCTATTTATGTATGTGTGACCTAATTCAAATTGATTATTAAAAAGTATACACTACAGCTGCCTGCTTTTCCACTATCGTGCCCAATCGTTCTAGGTACAATTCGGTATGGTTACGGTTGTTTCTCCACTGAGCCTGGAACGGCGCGTCACGATTACAAACTGTTCTAGGCCTGGAATTCTAGTTCCGTGCTGACAGATTCTGTGTGTTGACATCACGGCTTTGTTGCCAAGCTACCACAGCTGGCTCAGCAGAAGCGCGCTAGTTATCAGACATCTACAGGTGAACAACACTATTTAATATATAAATAAAAAAACGATACAGGTGGTAACGTTCATCTCTCAAGTCCTCTATCGGGTCTAAGTCATTCGTTCCTCACAGGCCAATCATATGCGTTTAGAGCCGGAAAAAGAATTGAATTGAAAGGTGAACTAATTATCCTGGCTCTTAACGACTCTGACTGTGTACATTGGTTAAGATTATATGTGACTGCCAGTGTAACGTGAACGAATCACTGACATTTGAAGACATGAAGAGGTGAGCTGAGCAAAGAGACAACAATACATTCATTGACAAAAGAGCAGGTAAACATTGAATTATTTTCTCCTTCTTATAGTATTCTATTTATGACTTATTTGTCATGTGATTAACCTTTTAGGCTAGTTGTAGATGTGTTTAGAAGCAATTCGTAACACTTTAATAATATTTTGACAAAATGAACGAAATGACTCAAAAAAAAGATTCGTTCATCTCGATGAACGAGACTCAAACATCCGGTTCAGTAAAATGATCCGAACTTCCCATCACTATTACCAACATGTTGGCAATCATGATACAGTCACTAAATTAGGTAGATTCATCTATTTATATTTAGTTTTTACACTTCCTTTACAATAAAGGAACGCCAATCAAAAGCTTAACAATGAAATTAGATAAAAGACAAATTTCTGATAACTGAAAAAAAAGTGACAGTAGAGCTACAATACGTATTTGCATGGACCAACATACAAAATAAAAATTAAATTAACAAGCTACAATCTGAGACACTTTGCAATTTTGTCCCCATTGACAATAAACTTAAGTTATTAAATGCACATTTCTCCCACTGTTTCACATTCTTAATCATATTTGATCATGTGGGACAACAAAAAAATGTTTGAAAAAAATTTTTTTTTTTACACTCAATACATATTGATAACAAGCATGATTTGAAATAATTGGGAACATTGCCTTGTTTATGTCTTTAACATTTGTCAAAGTCCTGTAACTGACCTTGTCATGCAATTTCCAGCAGAGCTTATTGATTGACAGGCGTGTACGTGAGAGTGCATGTGTGTTTATAAGAGAGATTGTGTACAGAACATTGCATCATCTCTGTAACTGGCTGGTTTACCTAGCTATTATGTGCTTATGCTATTTTTGTTACCTCCAGCAGTCCATATTAACACCCATTTCTCACTTTGGCATATGTTACCTCTTGTTGTTAAAGTTAGTCTTTAAATGCATATTTCTCCAACTTCAAGACTGTCCCAGATTACCCAAACCATGCTGTCCCACATTCTTGCTTCTTGACTGACAAAGACGGTACCATTTCATGATTATAAAACAAAAATACAGGTAGCCTACAGTATTGCAAACATAACCGATTTACTCAAAAACAACCAGCCTACCTGTAACTTATTACTGCCTGCTCCGAGACTAGTTGTAGATACTGGTCGGCTACAGTTATGTAATAAGGGATCATGTGCAAATTCCTCCCCCTAGGACACCGGGAGACTTTCTGATTTGCATTGATTGTGATTTATAAAAAAAAAAAAAGACACATTAAAGAATATTTGTTGTACTGTAAATTTAGAAATCATTACTTTTATTTTCATTAACTTTTTTCTGATTTAGGGTTGTATGAGACTAGCTAATATAGAATTCACTAACAGCAATTATAATGCAAAAAGACTTTACTGATAAATGGAAAGTATCAAGTAGAATGACAAACAAAACAAAAAAAAAGAAATTGTATGATTTTACCATTTTAAATATTTTATTACATTAACATCAATTATACACAAGTAAAATAATCAAGCCAGAGTAACAATTTAGACAATAAACAACTCAAAATTGTATATCAGTCATCAGTGAAATAGAGCTGCTACAAGCACACTTTTTTGGTGTGCTCTAAGTTCTCCTGCGCACTAAGTGCTTCTCTCTTGTGTGAGGTTTTCAGATTTTTATTCTCAGGAGGCTTTCCATCCGTCTCCACGCAACCCTTCAAACATGAGAGAGACAGTGAAAGCTGTGAATAATAATAATGACTGTAACAATGTCTCCCCTCAGTGGCTCAAAAGTGTATGAGACATTTTGTACAAATTACAGTACCAATAACCCCAACTCTCACCTTGTTCTTCTGAATTGCATGCTCAGCTGTCCATTTCTTTGCCTTTTCAAGATATAGTGGTTTGTTGTATTTAAATTCTGAGGACTGAAAGGCATTCAATTAATTGTGATGAATATGTAGAAAGCAAACAAATGCAAATACATTACAATAATAATTCCAGAAGTTACAAACATGAAAAACTAAAGGCTGATTTATACTTCTGCCGCAAGCGCACGTGTATGCTACAGCGTGGTCTATGCACGGAGGCATAGCCCTCGCCATGGCCATCGCTGACGAGCACCTCCCAAAAAACGTAACTACATTTTAACTAACTGGAAAGTTTTGTTTTGTGTTTACCTCATGGTTAAAGTTGTTGCACGTCTGGCGGTTCCTGCCGCAAAATGAGCGAGTTTGAACCACTTGTACGTTAAGGAAGCATTCAGAAAAAACAAAACACCAGCGAAGAAACTGGACACAGAGAAACAAACACCTCACTGCCAACTAGTGTTTCGGAAGTGTTATTGCAGAGCAACAGAAAAAAGTATGCACAGCTACGCACATTGCATGCGCCGTAGGTCACGCTGATCACTTAACGCAGAAGTATAAACCAGGCTTTATGGGTAACTGAATTAAAACTCACTATATCAGCCATGAGAGGGTCGTCAGGGTTTGGTTCGGCCATCAATAACTGTATGGATGTGAGAACTGTTGAAATGTTAAGCGAGGGCCTCCAAGCTCCCTTTAAAAAACAATGCTTATAAATATCAGCATGTGACATGTCAGTAGTTAGAGAGTAGTAGAGAGTTGTAAAAAGGTCTATTAAGTTAATACAACTAAAAATAACAAAATATTTCAAAACAGAATTCAAATTTAGAGTGAAAAAATATATATTATTGGTATATTATTGTTGCTGTTTTTAGCATCTACCTTTGGTGGCAGTTTCAGAGCGTCAAGACAAATGCGTCCTGCATTATCAATGTTGGGGTGATAAATGGGAGTCAGGAAACGCATTTTTGGAGGTTCAAATGGATACCTTAAAACAATGAACAAAAGTGTTAAGCAGGCATTTAAACCAAGTAATCATTTAAATTTCTTTAAAAAAATCTTTAAAATGGCTTATTAGGAAAAAAAATACTGATTTTATCAATTGATCTCTGCTTTATTCAATCCAATTATTAAATCCAAAGCAGATTAATTCAGTAACAGCTTTACTCGGACACAAATCCAGATTTATATGGAACCATTTTCAATGGTAAAATAGAGGAAAAAGACAACATTGTATCTAAAATGACTAAATACACAGTAACGTTATTGAACTACTGTTTGTACAATCATGCATGTGATGTTTCAGGAAAACGACACTCTTGCCAGAGTATTATGCCAAATGGATACAGGAATATTTACAGCACATTTTTGAAGTGAAATGCCTTTTTTTTTTTTAAGACATGATAATACTCTGGTGTGCAATAATATTGATAACACATGATTCTAGCATGAATTTAAAGATTTTTTATATCAATTATATGATTATTGCTAGTTTAATTTCTAAATTGTCATAAAAAACAATCATGAACATGGGAATGTGCTATGGTCCACGGCAACTTCATGCCTAGCGTACGTACATTTCTTGTACAATATACAAAATATTCATAATCACCACTGTAAGTACATATATGTGATATGAAATACTTAAAAAAATGGTTGGGCTGTTATCATAATTGTACAAAAGCAAACACACTGAAAAAAAAAAAAAAAATCTGATAACCCATATGTGGCCCATTTGTGAGCTGTGTGTGTGTAAGCTGCCTAACCGGGGCCCACATTCAGCTCAACAAAATGCCCACTTTGAGCCCATGCCCACTTGACACCCACACGGCCCAAAAAATCCTATGTGGACATGTCGGCTGGGTTGTTATGATCAAATTTTTTAATGCACCCAGAAACACTGTTTTTCTTTTTTTTTTTTCTAAAACAATTATCATAGTGTAAAAATGTTATATTGTTACAACCTACCTGTACTGTTTAAAGCACTGCATTTTTTTAAAATCAAGTCTGAAATGGCACAACTTTGAAACAACATTAGTACCATTAAACTGACTGTGAACAATGCTGTGCTTTGATAGTCATTAGCATAGAGGTAAAGTTGGTTTTATATCCGCACATTCATTCATTTAGCAGTCTCTATATTGTTTACCATGTTGTTTTGAATATTGGATAGAAATTAGCATGCAAATATGACTTCTAAACAACATTAACACTACCTATTTCAATGTGAACAATGTTGTAATTTGATAGTCATTTGCTGCTAATATGATTTCCCCATTTACAATTTGCAAAGAATACTATTCTGAAACTATATTATTGAGGATAATGTCTGAATATCCAAATATAAAACCAACTTTACCTCTATGTCATTAGCTGCTAATATAATTTCCCCACTTAAAACGGGCAAATAATATTGTTCTAAAACTAAATTAAGAAGGTTTAAGTCTGAATGTGCAAACCAAATTCCCACCTCTCAGGTATGTTGATTTCCAATGTGAACACACCACCTTCATACGGAGTGTTTGCACCTCCAACAATTTCTATACTCCAAACACAAAGGTAAAGCAAGGGCGTCAGATTTGGATATAATATGTAGTTTCAGTAAGAGACGACAAAAGAGAAACAGAAACTGACGGGCTTGTAGTTCATCCAGGCGTCCCTCTGACTGCCAGCACGAGACTCCTGGAGGAGGTTCAGCGGTGAGGAGCTGCATCTCCCGCTTCAGACGACTGACTCTCTGCATGGCGACTATGCACATCAACACCACGCGATTATTAACAATTCAATAAGTACATTATTTTATTCAACACTGTATGAGGTCTTTAACTTAATATCGTATGTGTTATTACCGTCCAGCTTTGCTTGAAAATTCCGGCTGGCTGGTTGACTTGTGTGGTTTTGATTCTGCCCGCGAAATGTTAATACGTCATTGTGCGCCGGAGGTGCATCCAGATTCATCATGGGTGTTGTAGTTTTTTTTTTTTATGTATGGTTTGTACAGTGTCTCTTTTTTATTCTCTCTGTAGACACCGTGTATTCTTCGTACCTCGCTTAAACATTCGGCAGATCCTGGAATAACTTGACTGATAACTGATCGCTGGCTATATCTGTTTTTTTTTTGTTTGTTTGTTTGTTTTTAAACAATTTGCGAATAAGATTAAAATGTCTGGATGAACTGAGATCGCTGTGTGTTGCTCATGATTGTTTATAGACATTATAATGTCTGTTGTGATGAATCACAGGCTAATTTTTTATATAAAATTAATATAAAATATATACATAAAATATGTTGTAGCCTAAACTGTTTGTTAAAGTCCGCATGAACCGGAAGATGTGACCATTTATTTATTTATTAATTTTAATTTTTTTCCATAGTTTAGAGAAACTGAATATTAATTGACAAAACAGTAGCTGTGGCTTTTTTTATTTTTTATTTTTTGTTTGTTTTTTGTTTTGTTTTGGGGTTTTTTCTGCAAGCTGAATGGATGTAGTAAACTTTAATTTCTTTCAAAAAGATCGGTAAAAGGGTTTTGGGGAGAGTTAAACAACCTGTCACCTCCTCCTCAGCAACATGGTTAAATATGTTAGTGACGCCCAATTCTTGAAATATATATAATCTAACAATTCACCCCCCCACCCCCCCAAAAAATAAATAAATAATAATAATAATAATAATAATAATAATAAAACAGGAAGTGCATTTTCAGATTTCCAATAAAGATTACAAGGACAAACATTTTTTTCTCTTTTAATTACATGCACAGATGACTTGTTCACCACAATATTAGCAGCTAGATAACAAAATCATATTTTTGAATTGATGGGGACTTTAAATATGATACGCATAACTTTTCACATTTGCTGTGGGCCTACATTTTATTTGTTGAAATAGCAATTTATTTAGGTTTACATTTAGAGTGATTTCCCTTTATGTTAGTATTCAATTTTCCTGTAGCAGAAGACAAAACTGGCTAATAATATTGGCTGTGTCTATTACCATACACTCGCATTTGTAAAAAAAAAAAAAAAAAACATATGGTAAAATTAGCCTAGGGCTACACAGTTTTTTTTTTTTTACTTGTTAAAACTACTTTTTTAAATGAGCTGAAACAACACAATTCCTGAGATTTCATTGGGACAACTTTTTTTTTTTTTTTTTTGTATTGTTCAATTCACATTAATTTGTTAAAGTGTTAAGTTAACTTAATCAATTTGTGTTGGGAAAACATGAATGGATCGTGTGGAACCCTGCATTTTTTACAGTGTTTGGCTACATTTATAAAGCTTGGCAAAGTAAGCTTTAGGTTTGAATTTGAAATATCTCAATATGTTTATAAAATAGTTTAGTTCCCTGACTAACTTACTACAGGTAACTTATTTAAGACCAAATATTTATCAGTTCACCTAAATATGATTTTCTCATTCTAAAGATTGTAGCTCATTCCCAGAGGCAGGCTTTATTTTTCTTTCTGGTTTTAACGCCTGACATTCACCCATGGGAAGCGTTGACGCTGACGCCCCTTGTGAATGGGGCATTAGTCTGATGCTCTATTTCTGTCTGTGGTCTCAGTTGTTTTTGGTAGTTTATTTTATGCTTTTAGTAGTATTTAGTGTGTGAAATCTTTCCGCTCTTAAACACAATTTATTATTTTATTTAAAATAATTTCTTATAATAACTGTGTTTTGTGCTGATAATTAGTGGATTTACATGTGATAATAAATCAATAAATCCAAATACTTTCTCCAAATGATGTTTATAATTAAAAGAATAATTCTTGTGTTCATGGTAAAGGTTACTTACACTGAAACGAGTGATATATGTGAACTATATTATTTGTATAACTAGAAATTAAGTTTAATATCAATTTAGATTTTCCTTTATTGCTAACAAGCATGGACTTGGATGTTAATAATGCATTAGTAAATGTTAAATTATTATTAATATATGCTGTACATGTGTTGTTCATGATTATTTCATGTTAGTAAGTGCATTAACTAATGAACCTTATTGCAAAGTGTTACCAAAATAATAATAGGCGAGGTAGTGGCGCAGTAGGTAGTGCTGTCGCCTCACAGCAAGAAGGTCGCTGGGTCAAACCTCGGCTCAGTTGGCGTTTCTGTGTGGAGTTTGCATGTTCTCCCTGCCTTCGCGTGGGTTTCCTCCGGGTGCTCCGGATTCCCTACAGTCCTAAAGACATGTGGTACAGGTGAATTGGGCAGGCTAAATTGTCCGTACTGTATGAGTGTGTGTGTGAATATGTGTGTGGATGTTTCCCAGAGATGGGTTGCGGCTGGAAGGGCATCCGCTGCGTAAAAACTTGCTGGATAAGTTGGCGGTTCATTCCGCTGTGGCGACCCAGGATTAATAAAGGGACTAAGCCGACAAGAAAATGAATGAATAATAATAACAATAATAATTTTTTTTATTTTATTTTATTTTATTTATTTTTTTAAGCCATACTCCATTCATATTATGTAGTTAGAAAAGCCCTCAGGGGCGCCATATTACAATATACTGTATCTTGCAAACGCTCCTTAACCTACATTTAACAAGACAGTGTATATAACGCTTAAAACAGGCAAACTATTGTTTTCACACTTTACTGTAGACATTTAAGAAACAGTTTCCTCTGATCGTTTTCAGTTTAAAGCTTAATAAAAAATGTCTTCTTTCCCTCGCATTCAATTCATTCAATCTTTCTGGGCTTTCATGAAACACCAGACAAGCCGCTTGAGAGTCATACTCGATCTCTCCCTGCAGTGTTTGAGAGATTAGTGCACACAGTCTGGCAGATATCCGTTCTCTTTCGTTTTCATTTCCCGGAAGGATTCTGTATATTGCAGGCGCTTAAGAAAAGCAATAAGTCCGCTGCGCAAGATTACGACTTTTCACTACTCTACATGTATTTATTTAGTGTATCTTTTGACCATTCACTGACATTATAATCGGCAAATACTATCGTAGCGCATTTTTTAGAAGAGTGTGTCAAGTCAAGGTTAAAGAACATGAGTGACGCCTCTTCACCGCCACCTTTAATAAAGGTAAGTTATCTGGTAGATACACAACAAGCTCACTGGGAAAGTACAGTATGCGGTGGGCTACTAGAAAAACATTTTAAATAGTATAGTGAATGCTTTTATTAGTTTCTCAATATACAAGCAATATGTCTTCAGTAACTTAAAAATCACACAAAACAAAGAAATGACATCCATGTTTTTATTTAAAGTAACTCTCAGATGTCATCACAAAACATTAAAAAATATCAGTGCAAATTTTAAAGCAATTTTGTTTTATTCACAGCTTAAGCAATGCAAAACTGAAAATAAAAACTGTCTCAAATTTACTTTCACTTTTACTGTTTATTGAGATCGAACTGAGACATTGTAGTTTCTGCTTTATTCATATAAGGGTAATTTTTCAACTACAGCCACTTTTATATCCTTTGATATATCCAATATATATATATTCAAATTTCTCGTTCTTTGTCAAACTAACAATAAAATCTACCTAAAAAAATTACTACCTTTCTATTATACTTTTTTCATATTATTCAACCTTCTTTTAGATGTAAAAATCACTGTTTTCATCTTGTCGCACACCCAAAGTTTTAAAATTCAACAATAAAAATAACATCTTAAAATAACATTTATCTATTAATGTATCTTAATTAAGCGCTAGTGAAATAATTTAAATATTTTATAGTTATTAATGTGAGACTATTATCAATATTTTTTTTTATACAAAATATAGCTGTCGCACAGTATCAGTGTCATTTCCACCACAACACTGTAATGTCGCTTTAAACAGTTTGTGTGAAAGATTATTTAGGTGGTTTCTATGAAAATGAATGATGCCATCTGAGAACATGTTCAAGATGGAAGGGATTTAAATTTTTTATCAACAACACTTTATTATCAATGTTGCTTGATAAGGAAATACGTTTATTGTAAGTAATTTCCAAACATGTTGTACCTTCGAAGATGTTTTTTAAAACCAAACAAAATGAAGGTAAATAAGAGTTTTATGTATACATTAAAGGCTAGTATCGATTCAAAGCTAACCGGTGAACCTTTTTTAAATTTTTTTACAATAAACTGTAGAAATGTCATTTCCACCACTGTCATTTCCATTACCACACACATAAAAAAAAAAAAAAAAAAAAAAAAATATATATATATATATATATATATATAAATATATATATTATATTTATATTATATATATAATTTTTCTCATTAAAAGTGTATTCACAATGTTCTATTTAATATAAAAACTCTCTTATAAAAACTTTCTAATAAGCTCTTAACCAAATTAATATTAAATTTTAGAGTGTGACAGGTGTACAATTCAGCATACAACTAATTTATTTCATTGACAAATGTATAATTATTATATATATTGTGGAAAGATTGGTTAAACTAGATACAAAAATGATCTTAGACAATGTTTGACTGCTATAATTCATTTAATTTTGAAATAAGCTGTAAATTGAGATGTTGTGGAATTGACATTTATTCAGTTCATGATGGAAACAAATGTTTCTCTTCTTATCTAAGTTTGTCCTCTTACAGATCTTAAAACTAGACAAACTGTTTAAACTTATGAGGTGATGTTACATAAATTTTGAGTTTTTTTTATTTAACTTCACAAGGCTTAAAGTGCTCATAGTTGAAGAATGGTCCATAAATGCATATTATTGATACATAGCTTTTTGAAAAGATATACATTGTTAAATATTTAATTCCAAATCATTCTTCCAAGCTTCAGCATGGCTGTAATGGGAACAATTCTTCAGTCTGCTCCACAACTCTGCCCGACCCTCAGAATGAACCTTCCTCCGTCTCTGAGGCGGTGCCTGAAGAACTGTGCAAACTGCCAGGACGATTACGTACGTTCCTTCTAAACAAAACTCTACTGTG